TTTTAACCGGACCATACCTAGTTTTGTGTTCATCGTTTTTGATTAGGGTTTGTTGATGCTCTCTGAACTACATTTTATATGATTTTTGTCAAGTCTGGATGGGTGGTCTGTGTTGAAAGGTTTTAATAATGTCATGAAGTACTGCAGAGGATGTGACCTGATTGCTTGCGAACCAAAGTTTCACATGTAAAAATATGTACTGCAGTGACTTTTATGATGCAATATAACATTATAAATTGTGAATTTGAATTTTGAAACATAGATTCAGAGAAATAGCATATCAGCTGAGAAAACTAAATTACTAGATCTACTACAAGGATGTCAAACTCGCGGCCGACAACAAATATTTTTGCGGCCCGGCCAATATATCGGCAAATAATAATATATAATAATAAAATAACATATCGACGAAGAAAAAAATGAAATGTAATAATTAACAATAATTTATTCAGTGTTGTTAGATTACTCACAGCGAGCTGACACACACACTACTTAAATTACAAATGCGTGTGAGTAGCTTCAGTTACCTTCGGCTTTTGGGGGACACGTGCACTCAGAACTTGTGTGCATCCCCCGATAGCCGAATGTGGCCGAACTCATGGTCTCAGTTTTCCAATCATAGTTTTGTACGATATATTGGTGCATGCATGTGCATGCACTTTGCTTTATTATTAATTATTACTTAATTCATATTGTTACGGATTTCATAGTTATTTATTTAGTTAGTTTTTTTTATTTAGAATTGTAATTAGATTTGCTTCATGTTGCCTTAGAAATGCAGACGATTTTTGAAAAGACAGCTGCGTTGGAAGGTTAAAAATAGAACAGCGCGTGCATTTAATACCTAATAAATAAATATCTCGTAATTGCTGTTGCCATCCACAAAAATCCAGATATTTATAGATGTTTACAGTATATTCGAGAAATTAATTATAAAGCTTATAAAAGCCGAGAACAACAAATCATCTCGGTAGTAGCTGTAGTTCTAGCGAACTGTTTGTTTACTTAATGCTGTGATTGATTTGTAGCAATTTCGCTGTGAGATAGAATTAGTTTCTCTGTTTTGAATTGATTTTTGCTAAACGTTTGACATTTTGTGATATTATTAGAATATTTTTGAAGAAATATTTCAGCATTTTGATTTATCTCTTGTGGAAAGAATACATTTTTGTTAACTTTTTAATGCTAACCGTGTTTATTCCAGCCCTTTGTATTCAGTATGTCTATATCAAAACCAAGTGGTAGTAAAATTAAACGAAAAATCACTGACGAACATAGAATATTCCAAGTAAAATGGGAATTAGAATATTTTTGCTGTGAAATAAAAGATAAAATAATCTGCTTGATAGGTAATAATACTATTAATGTACCAAAGTTATATAATATTAAACGTAATTATGAACAACACAAATCGAAATATAACAATTACGAAGGATTAATGAGAGAAGAAAAGTTGAAAGAGCTCAAGTTAGGAGTGAAAAAGCAACAGTCCATGTTTAGTAAAGTATTGCAAGAAAGTGAAGCAGCGGTACATGCAAGCTACGTCTTGTCCGAGTTGATAGCTAAACATTCGAAGTCTTTTACTGACGGTGATTTCATCAAGGAATGCCTAATGAAAGCTTGTTTGTCCTGGAAATGTGAAGGCTTTTCAATCAATTTCATTGTCTTGAAATACAGTTGAGGAAAGAGTTACTGATTTAGCCGCGAATTTAAGTGATCAGATCAAAGCAAAATCATCTAGTTTCGAAAGTTTCTCCATAGCCTGTGACGAGAGCACGGACATTAGTGGCAAAGCTCAATTAGCAGTGTTTCTTCGTTCTTGTGACAAGAATTTTAACATTTTTGAGGAATTACTCTAACTAATACCGATGCCTGGTACTACCACAGGAAAAGATATATTTACTTGTGTTTTTGGACTTCTGCAGAAATACAATCTACCTTTGGCAAAATTAAATTCTGTAGCTACAGATGACGCTCCATCAATGACCGGGAAAAACAAGGGCTTCGTAGCATTACTAAGGAAAAAACTTAGTGAAATTCACGGTTCAAACATTCATCATATGCATTGTATTATACATCAAGAAGTTCTATGCACGCAAGTAATAAATATGAGAATGTTTTGTCATATATAAAAAAAGTTATAAATTTTATAAGATCTCGAGGTTTAAATCAGCGTCAATTCACTGCTTTCTTAAGTGAGTTAGATAGTGAATATTCGGTTTTGTCCTACTATACCGAGGTACGTTGGTTATCTTGCTCCAAGATTCTCAAACAATTCTGGGATTTGAAAGAAGAAATATGTCAGTTTTTAAAAACGAAAAATCAAGATGTAAGTTTGTTTTACGATCCAATATGGATACAAGATTTATCTTTCTTGGTTGATATAACCAAACACTTAACCGATTTAAATTTATCGTTACAAGGAAAAGATCATATCATTACGAACATGTTTGACATATCAAATGTCAACTAGTTCTTTGGGAAAAACAACTTAAAAATGAAGATTTGACGCACTTCCCGACATGCAGCATGAACAAATCAAGTTTAGATGATATTTGTTCGTATTAAAAATACGCAAAAAAAATTGCAAATTTAACAACTGAATTTGAAATCAGGTTTAATGATTTTATTTCCCTCGAAGACAATTTTTTTTTGTTTTCTTCGATTTTCTCAATAAGTATTGACTCAGTACCCAGCCATATGCAAATGGAGGTGATCGAGATTCAAAGCAACTCAAATTTGAAAGCAAAATTCATTGAAGTGGGCGTGCCTGAATTTTACAAATATTTACCAGCCAGGTTTGAAAATACTTAAATTCGCATATGAAATTATTTCCATGTTTGGTAGCACTTATCGGTGCGAGCAGTTATTTTCAGTCATGAAAGGTAATAAGTCTCCTATTAGAATCCGTATTAATGATGCTCACCTTGGGTCAGCGTTGAAAGTTATCACTGCAAACAAAATTTCTCCCGAAATAGGAAAGATAATAGCAGAGAGGAGATGTCAAATATCAGGACGTAAACATTAAATTTTTCTTGTTCTTTTCTATATAAATATATATATATGTTTATTATTGTATTATTCGAAAAAAATCTACGTTTCTATGAATATTGATTTTTTTTTTTTTTTTCAAGCCTACCTAAAGTTAAACCTTGTTTGTTTGGCCCAAGCGTACCTATGAGTTTGATATCCCTCATCAACACACCAAAAGCATTCATCAAAAATTCCTGATCAACATTTTGATTATATTCTGTTTCATATGATGTATATCAAATTAATGCATTAATTAATGCAATTAATGCACTCAAGTTAATCATTTAACCAATTTGTGTAAGGCTCTAGAGATTACAGTGAATATAGTTATTAAGATGATAATACCCCCCTTTTTTGTTTCTTGTAATTCTCATTTAATTAGTTTATAAAATATTTTTGAGCACAAGAACATTTAAACTAAAGGCTTAACTTTTGAAATGAATTTTCAGATTTTAACAAACAGCTATAATTTGTATTCAATCATAAATATATTGAAGGAAGGCTAGAATATTCTTTATCTAATGGTGCAGTTTGTCCTTATAGCTAAGCAATCAAAATAACACCAGAAGACAGCATAGAGAGCAATTACGACAGAGGAATTCACAAAATTAACTGAAACTCTCTCTCTCTCTCTATATATATAAAGCTAGCTGGCTGAAAGCACAGGGTGCAAAAATCTCCTCAAAAAACTTGAGGGGCACTAAGCAGTTTCAAAAAATGAAAATATACATAAAAATAATTCTTGTACAGGATTTAATGCAATAAAAAAATACTAAGCTCTCTAAAAAAGAACATTCAAGATAATATTTAGATAAGCAAGATTTGAAATTGCTTTACAGAATGCAGCAATACAATAAACTGATTTTATTCATGTGTATGTACATAAAATAATTTTACAGAAGCATTGAACTTTGTGAAGTATAAAAATAGAGTATGCACATTTTATGTGATAATTATGGCAAAAAATGTATTCTACGATGTTTCCAATGTGAATGATATTACTTAAATTAATAGTAATTTTAAACATAAATTATTGAACAAATATTACTTTTTAATAATTTAATTTTACTAGGGAACTTGAGTGCTATTGTTATGACATTTTTATACAAAATATTGCCAAAATTAAAATTTTTAAATTTTAACTATCACAATAAGTGATAAAAATAATAATTATATATAGTTTTAATCTATAATGTACATAATATTCCAGCAGTTTATCACATATTTTAAAAAATCTTTATTCAATATGTTGCAAACTAGAATGTGTGTGAGTGTAGGGAAGGGGACCTTAGAGTTTGTTCAAATGCTCAGTTGAAAAGAAAAATGTTAATTTAAAAAATTTATCAAACTGAAATCTTATAATCAATTTTTAAGAGACTACAGAAAATAGTGCACACATATATTATCAATATAATTTAATAAATGCTTTCTCTTTAAATACACAGTAAAAGATTTTGTATAGAAAAATATTTTTCTGGACTAGTTCCAACCAAAAATATTTGTATAATTTGTTTTATTTATTAGGCAGCCAACTGTTAAGTATATTATATGTTTACCAAATAAAACTTAGAACAGGATATAAAGGTAATTGAGAGAAAAAAATTAAATGATTCAGCTTTCTTATTTATTACACAAAAATTATCTTAAAAATTTACTGAATAGTTAAAAATATATTTATATACATCAATTAAATATTTAAAATTATATTTAAGCTATATTCTGAAAAGTACTGTTAATAGAAATTAACGCCGATCATCAAAATTTGTTTCATAACTGATTTTATGGAGAATAAAAATCAAATATCTAACTTAAGAGTTGCATAAAAAAAAATAAATAAATAAATAAAAAAAAAAATTACTCACACTTATGGGGGGGGGGGAATTACTGAAACACCCAAGTCTAAGATGAATGCTAATGAATACTTTACCTCAAATTACAATCAATGCAAGAGGCAAGATTACAGTAAAAAAATAAAATAAATGTATAATGAGGTATAAAAAATAAGACAAATAACAAATACAAAAGTTAAAAATAAGCTTTTGCCTTTTGAGGAATTACTGACTGTCATCATCGTCACTTTCTTTTTGGTTACTAGAAAGAAAAATGTCAATTATTAAAATAATTAAATGCCCACATAGAAAGCATATGTTAATGTAAAAATTGCAAAAAATATGTCTATTAGTAGAGATATCTAACCCATTACAGAACATAGAAACTAAAGGACACTGATACCAGAAATCCTACTATGTCTAAAATCTGATGTCTGATATGTAAGGCTACAAAATTTTCTTTATTTTTAAAATTTAAAGAACACTTTTTTTTTATTAACATGCTTACACTTACATTAAAATCTGCTCTTTGAATTAATAGAATGAGAATTGGTAATGTCAGCTAACCTTAACCCGCGAGCACACGCACCGATCCGACGAACACGAGAACACACGCCGGGTATGTCATACCCGAATAAAACGTTTGTAATTAAAAATTTGCTGAATAAAATTAATCGGTTTTTAAAAGAAATTAAAATGTAAAACCAAGTTAATACTTCATTTTAGACAAAATATGAAAGAATAAGGAGAGGTAAAAATTATTTACTTACAATTTTTTGAACATTGTTTACAAAATGAGGTCATATGTTCTACACATATACTTTTGCTACAATTTTCACAAATGAATCTAGTCTTTCTATCTTTTTTCTTGGGGCACTCTGTACACCTCTTGTAAGTAATTTTAGGTTTTTTTTGGGGGTTCATTGTTAACATGTTCATCGGTGGTCAGTGTTTGTCTAGAATCAGGAACTACAGATGCTCGTCGTCATTCATTTTGAACACTTTCTATTAGCTGCATCCCTAAGGCTTTGAGAAAAGTACGCCTGGTACGGTATTCCGTTGATGGTAGAATTATTCTTGCATTAATGGCAGCCACGTTTAACACTGAAAAGAAAATCACCATAGGCCACGTTCACATGGGATGATTTATAAACTCCACATAAATACAATCCAATTAAAGCTTTGATTTCCAACTCATTTGTTGCTTTTGCATCCCGTTCACGAGTGAAATTTCCACGTACTGAATCAATATAAATATTTGTATTGTCGACTACATGTTTTAACATACTATCTTCATCGATAAGCAGTGACAAGGAATTCTAAAGGTGTTGAGACGTCTTTAGAATACTTCGTATTTCCCGGGAGTTTAGTTATAATATTTTTGGCGCCAATTCTAACATTAGTCCGGAAATTTATTTTTGTTCCTTTTTACTCCATTTTTTCCAACATAAAACTCATTGCTATATTCCAAAGTTTCATTTTTTGTTTCTGTATCTAAATCACTATTCTCTATGAATGAATCATGATTACTATTATATTCTTCGTCATCAACATCTTCATCATCTTCACTAAATGAATCCTCATCAGAAGAAACTGTTTCAAGAAGATTCTTCAATTTTTTCATCTCTTCATCGTAAGGATTATACGGCACCATGCTTACAACTCAAGAAAAACCTATACTAAAAGCTTGAAAACGAGACGTGCGAAGTGACTCACTGAAAAACGCGAGTACACGCGCAGGTATGACATGCCCGAACAACGCTGTTCCTAAAAAACCGTTGCACCTATCACCTCAGGAATTTTCCCCATTTAAGTATGTGACCTTGAACTCAGCTACACCAAGTTTCGTCCTTTTATGAAAGAATGGGTGAGAAATATACAAAACGAAAAGTGCACATGGGTATGACATACCCGTTGCGTGTGCTCGCGGGTTAAAGAGACTCCACTGTTTATATCTGTCATTAAGTGGTATTTCTTCTACCTTGTGAGGCTTCCTTTTACAGTTTAATATTAAGTAAAACTTTGTGAAAGTTACCAGACCAGATGCTCAGTTTTTAAAATTTAAACTTAGTTGATGGAACACTAAATTTTAGCTGTTTTTATTTTTGCTGCATTCATTTAGTGTTCTAACACGGTAGTAAAAGAAAGAAGGATGGCTAGAACAACAGCTAGAAAGTTTTAGATTATGAAAAAATGAGTTTATCCTTATAAAGACATATTTGTATTCATGTGTTAAATTTGTGGCAATAATTGTCCTTTGTTTATCCAAACTTTGAAATAGCACAATATTTTAAACAGTAAAATGCACATATTAATGCTCATTAAAAATCAGACCAATCAAAGACCAGTGACAAACTGAAGCAAAAAATAATGTGAAATTTATTGTTTACTCTACATCACACCACACAACTGCTGAAGAACTCAACATATTCAAGAAATCAATTCATATCATTTTCGGGAAAACTTAATGAAAATGCAAATATATTTCACAAAAACTATCTTAAGAAATGATAAGAATTGAACACTCCAGACAAACAAGGATGTACAAATACCTACATTTTCCTGTCATACTAAACATGATGCAGGGTTCTGAGTAAGACAAGAAAATCACATAGTAGATTGCACTATAAAAAGACTTCAGGTACTCTCAAAATAAACGAATGAACTAAAAAACTGAAAATTAGTGACTATTTTAGTTTATTTCTACAATTAATAAGGTATCACTTGTGGCGAATTTGTTCTAGACCAGTTGTTCTCAACTTTTTTTTTTAGGCCTTATTCCTCTCTTTCACCACTGCTAAAAGATCATCCCCCCTTCTTTTCCAAACGTCCCAGATATAAATATACATTTATTTAGATTTAACATATTTTATAAATTAAACAATAAAAGATATAGAAAATGTTGGCAAATACCAAAACTTGAAAAAGAATAGTTGTTTATACTCATAAATTAAAATTCAAAACTAACAGCTAAATAAAAGGTTGACTGCATCCCCTCCAAACTATGAAATTTCTCCTAAGGGGGAAAACTCCCCTGGTTGAGAATTCCTATTCTAGATTATGAAACTGCTACTGGATAGTACTATTTGAAGGAAAGATTATTAGGCCAGAATATAATGAGCTAAGAAGCTAGTAACGGGCATGTTGCAATGTTTTGTTCTAGCAAATTCTAGCAAAGAATAGTTTATTTCATTTAATCTTTTTCACTAGTTTATTCAGTGTATATACCTGTATCTCATAGCAATCATCTCTATAGAGATAACCATCTATGAAAGTGATGAGCCTTTCTCAGAAAATAATTTACAAGAAATTAACAGGCCATTTGAAAATTATTAAAAATATTCTTAATTAAACTGTAAACTTTGGTTCTTTTCTTAAGTAAAAATATTATTGAATGCGATCCATTAGTAAAACTAAATTTTTGCTCCTTTTGAACAAAATTAAAATTTAGCTGAAAAAATTTTGAATTTTAAAAGTGCCCTTGCCTGTTTCTGCATTTCTTTCTTGAATGTGGAATAGTATAAACAGATAATTATCAAAATATTAGGAAAATATACCATTTGAACATATTTAAAAAAAGAGTACTATATTTCCTTGCATATTCCACCCCCAGCCTATTAAGGACGGAAAAAAATAAAATTATTCAGATAATTTTTTCTCTTTATCAGCATGTTCACAGATAAAGCGCCCCTAAATTTTAGAATGGATTTGTACATGTAGCGATTGATTTCATCTTAGAAACAAAGAAAAACCCTCTGAAAAAGTCATGCCAAACCTTTCCTTTCTAACTGTTGAACTTTATGCCAGCCTCACAGAAAACCAACCAATCACAGTCAAGAAAACACAAATTGACATTCAGTCTACAATTTTGCTCAGTCAGGTGCCTATTCACCTTCTCTAGTTCTTTCATTCATTCTAATTTGACCTCTTCTAATTATTTAAGGATGATTTGAGGCCTAAGGAACAGCACAGACAACAATAAGAATGGCAAGATTCAGTTTACAGGGTAATAGCAATGAAAATACATGATTAGATATTGTAATGCTAATATTATTCTGTATTCTTATTGGAATGTAGCATTCTTTTAAAGAAATAACATGGTGATAGCTACCTGTAGTTTATTCATGACTCCTTTTATTTATGTTCATAATATAACTCATAAATTAAAGTATTTGCATTATTTTCCCCTCTCAATTTTCAAACAAAAATTATTGAAAAAATAAAGAGGGAAAATACTGCAAGGAGATATGGCAGTATACAGAAAGCGACTTACAAGGTAACCAAAAAAGTTTTTGGTGTTTCTGAACATTGGAAGAGTGAACCTCAACTTAAAAATAGTTGCCAAACCTGGCGATGAAGTTGCTAGGATGGGAGTCCAGACACTGAACAAGAGTATAAAAGCGTGTTGGATTGGTACGTCAAACATAACTCACACAGTGACTGATTGCTATTTTCAATATAAAAAAAAAAAAAAAAAAAAGAAAAGAAAAATAAAACCTGTTTGTGCAATTTTTTTACAAAACTTGGCTCTTTTGTACATATATATATATATATATATATATATATATATATATATATATAGATATATATAATATATATAGAATATATGAAATGAAACTGTGGTTCAATGACACGACGCTAATGATTTGATCGTGAATGCGGTACAAACTTGCATTAAAATTTCCGATGAAACAGTCTTTTCCCATGATACACTGTGAACATAGCTTAACAAACTCGTGTAGAATTTTTTATAATTAGGACTGGCCAAAGAATGTAATGGCAGAATAATTTTGGAGGCATTGAAATAGAAACGCTGAGATGCGTAGATACTTGATGCTTAGAGCGTCCATCCATTTTTGAAGAAAAAGCAGTCAAGCCAGATTAAATTCCTTTTTTATTTAAATTCTCGTTTTGTGGCCACAATTCACTTGGCACTTTACTTGTGTCTATTAAAGAATATTTAGAATTTTGATATTATTGCCATAGAAGTGAAATTAGCAGGACACGATTGCAGAAAGGCGTCTGGCCAGGAGGAAAGCACAAGCAAAAGTGACGTTTCAGTTCATAAAAAGAAGGGAGGGAGTTAAAAGTTTTAATTTTTACTTTTGGTTTACAATTTGGTGATTGGTCAAGAGGCATCTGCATTAAGGGTTACTTAAGATCACATGATTAATTTGAATGATGCAGTTAAGACTTACAGCACTTTTTTTAGTTAATTTGAATCATGCAGTTAAGACTTACAGCACTTTTTTTAGAACAAAA